CCCCAGTCTAGAAAATAATGTTTATGCTGCTAACAGACTGCCCATGTACACCCACGTACCAACGTATATACCTAGTCAGGTCATAAGTATTGTCACACAGTAAAAACTTTTCTTTTAGAATGCTGGCCACAAAAAAGTTTATTGAATTCGAATTGTTCATGAAAATAAAACTGTATACTTTTTAGAATTTTACTCATTTTTACATATGGAGTGGACGCTTAAAAAAGACCGTGTTGCAGTTGCGATTACGCGCCAATTAAATTTTTTGATATACTGAAAAATTTGAATATAACCAAAAGATTCGTTTATCGTACCATCAAACGATACAATGAAGACTCTAGTGTAGATGACAGGTCAAGAAGTGGTCGCCCTCGATTTGTTAGGACTCCAGCAGTGATAAAAGCTGTAAAGGTGCGAATTCAAAGAAATCCCAAACGTAAGCAGAAACTGTTGGCCCTTCAGATGGGGTTAAGCAGAACCACGGCGTTAAATGAAGACTTAGGGCTTCGGGCATATCGAAGAAAAACAGGACATCGTTTGAATGCTCGTCTAATGGATCTGAGACTGAAGAGATGCCGCGCTTTGGTGAAGCGGTACGCGGGAAAAAAATATCGGGAAATTCTTTTTTCGGATAAAAAAATTTTTACCGTAGAAGAGAGCTACAACAAACAAAATGATAAGGTGTACGCACACAGTAGTGAAGAAGCGAGCAACCGTATTCCGCGTGTCCAACGAGGTCATTTTCCATCCTCGCTCATGGTATGGTTGGGAGTTTCTTATTGGGGCTTAACAGAGGTACATTTTTGTGAGAAAGGTTAAAAAAGAATGCAGTTGTGTATCAAAATACAGTCCTGACGAACCTTGTGTAACCTGTTTCTCATACCATGTTCAATAACAGGCACTGGGTATTCCAACAAGATTCGGTGTCAGCTCATAGAGCGAAGAGCACACAAGACTTTTGACAGCTCCGTGGCGTAGTGGCTTAGCAATGAGTGGCTGCGCTTGGGGGTCGCGGGTTCGAATCCCGCACGGAACAAGTATTTGTACGACCTACAAGTAATTGTTCCGAGTTTGGATGTTTGTCCTTGTGAAATTTGTGTTTGTAAACTGCCCCCACGATACAGGAGAAAAACCTAGTGTGGAGGTAACGTTCTTTAAAAACAAAAAAAAAGACTGGCTGGCGGCGCGTGAAATCGACTTCATCCGACACAAAGACCAGTCCAGATTTGAATCCGTTAGATTACAAGATATGGTAACACTTGGAGGAAAAGGCGTGCTCAAAGCCTCATCCCAATTTCGAGTCACTCAAGACATCTTTAATTAAGGCAGCCGCCGATATGACATGGACCTCGTTCGTGGTGAGATAGACGACTGGCCGCGCAGATTGAAGGCCTGTATTCAAAATTACGGAGGTCATTTTGAATAAACTATAGTGTCATAAGAATCTATGTTTTGTTAAGTTCATTTTGGTATATAAATGGTTACATAATGAATAAACTTGTTTCAATTATTTTACATTAAACATGTGATAGAATTTATGACCTGACTAGGTAATATGCAATTTGGGTACAGATGATAAACCAGGGTCACATTGGGTAGCTTTATATATCGATACGAATGACGTCGGTGAATATTTTGATTCATATGGACGGGCACCTGTACGAAATTGTAAAAGATGGAACTGGAATGTTGATAGGACTTCAGTTTGTGGCGAATATTGCTTAATGTATTTGCTATATAAGTTTCAGGGATGTTCAATGCGTAGTTTTACGAGTATATTTACAGAGAACACATTGTACAACGATATGTTAGTGGATGAGATGTTTCGCTCCTATTTTATAGATAATAAGTAATAAGATTTTGTATTTTATAAATAAAAATTTTAACAAAATTAGGTAATGTGTTTAAAAGATGGAACTGGAATGTTGATAGGACTTCAGTTTGTGGCGAATATTGCTTAATGTATTTGCTATATAAGTTTCAGGGATGTTCAATGCATAGTTTTACGAGTATATTTACAGAGAACACATTGTACAACGATATGTTAGTGGATGAGATGTTTCGCTCCTACTTTATAGATAATAAGTAATAAGATTTTGTATTTTATAAATAAAAATTTTAACAAAATTAGGTAATGTGTTTAAAAGATGGAACTGGAATGTTGATAGGACTTCAGTTTGTGGCGAATATTGCTTAATGTATTTGCTATATAAGTTTCAGGGATGTTCAATGCGTAGTTTTACGAGTATATTTACAGAGAACACATTGTACAACGATATGTTAGTGGATGAGATGTTTCACTCCTATTTTATAGATAATAAGTAATAAGATTTTGTATTTTATAAATAAAAATTTTAACAAAATTAGGTAATGTGTTTTATTGATGATTCAGATTAGTGTTGTAGATAGGAACAAAGGAGTATAATACAATAGCATAAGCCGACCCACACGCTGACGAATAATAGATAATGACGGTAGTCAATCAACAATAGATAAGTAGATAAGGACAATGGTGCGCTAATGACGGTTGAGGCTCGTAGCGGATATCAATTAGATAAGAGTTAATTGATCTGCTCATCTCCGGAACCGTGCATCCTACGCAAAAATGGACCGCAGATTCGTGATCAGAGCATGCCAAAACCTTTTTTTTTTTTTTTTTAGGATTGTGAGTCGACGAACGTCGTGCGCCAGAACTGGTACAACCTTTCTACAAGTGCGCCAGAACTGGTACAACCTAACTACTCGCGAGTAACCCGGGTTCGATCCCCGCCGGCACCAATGAAATTGTTAATTGCAATTTTAAGTGCTGATTTACCACGTGCTCGGCGGTGAAGGAAAATATCGTGAGGAAACCTGCATGTCTGAGGAATAAGAAAAAAAATATTTCGAAGACATGTGAAGTTCGTCAACACGCATTTGGGCAGCGCGACGGACACTTCCTTGCCCTAAACCCTCTCAGAAATGAGGGGGAGGCCTGAGCCCAGCAGTGGGACGTATATAGGCTGTAACTTTACTTTACTTTATTCTATTTATTATTTAATTTAGATTTTACTAATTTAATACAAAATAACATAAACCGCTTTATATTAATACTTTGTCACATTTAACAAACTAATAAGGTTCTAAGACCCGTTTGACATTTTAGATAATTCAACAAACTTAATAATAGATTTTCATAAAATTTTAGGTGTAGATTAATAAAACTCTTATGTTAATTAACCTAAACTCGTCAGTTTTATTGGCGAATTTTACCACAAAAAATAAAATGAGAAATACATACGTAATGTGTAAATTAATATCTGGCTAACATGATGGAATAATAATTGATAATATCTATATTCTCCTAAACATTTTTGCATCGATGAGACGATATTTATTATTTTAAAGAAAAATCAAACATGCATTAGTTTCTTAATTGTGCGACCATCAAAAATATGTATATAACCCTTTGAAGTAATATGTACTTACGTACGTAAAAAAATGTGCGCTACTGTGTTCGCACGGTTGGCTTTTTATCATAGAATAAACATAGGTAGAATAAGTAGGTATAGTTGAATGTATTGTTAAATAGATAAATTATATCGAGAACAATTTTTAAATATTGTCATTTATTTTGTATATTACATTTGCTTGTTTAATATAATATTACATAATATTATATCACAATTACATTTTAATGATATTTTTATCTGAATATTTTAAAAAAATATCTTATCTATAAATATAAAAAACATACTAAATGTATGTTTAAGAAAATTTATTAATATAACATATAAATTACAAATATATTATTTATATTAGAATAAGAGTCGTTCAAAAATGCTGGGCACGCGAGAGTTAAAAATAAACGAATTTATTCCACTTTACATTGACGTGGAATCCTAAAAAATAAAATAAAAGAATAATGAGCAGATTTAAATGTAAAAAATAGCCTAATAATGATAACTTATATATGTTTCTACAAAAAAATGTGTATAATAATATATTCGTCCTATACTTAAGTACCCACAGAAATGTCGCATCTGAACAAATTAATTTCATAATCTATATTTCATGACACAAGATGGCGTCTTAGGAATAAGGTCAACCGGGGCAAATGCGTCACGATACTTTAAGCGGCATTTTTAACTAATCATCTTAATTTAGTTGTATAATTTAAAACAATGTGAATTAAAACATATAACACATTATTTAATAAAATTTTATATTTAAATATTATTTCGTGATATTTTTAAAACCCTTGCTTGAAAACACCCATTCTTTACAAGTTGAGATTTTTAGACGCAAAAGCCCCAGGTGGGGCAAAGGCGTCTTTAGCAAGTACCACATAATAGGAAGCCTTCGTAACACAATTAATCGAAAAAATATATTAGATCGCTCATGATATTTCTAGTTATCATCTTATAAGCGATATTCTTGACTTCGTCTCTCCTATTAAGTCGAACAAAAAAATTGGGGCTATGGCGTCTAATTTATACTTTAAGTGGTAGACGCATTCGCCCCATCCTAAATTCCAGGGGTATCAAAAAGATTTTTTTTCTCATTACTTGTGAGAAAAAAAAGTTTCCATTGACATAATTTGCAAACAAGTTCCACTTTTATACACCTAGCATTTATAAAAAAAAAATCAAACACACTGAAATTAGGTAAATAGTGTATAATAAAAATACGAGTTCTAATAGAAAATAAAAAAGCGAATACAAAAAAAGTATGAGATGTTTTATTTAGTTAATACTGTCATCATTACTAAATTCTTAATAATCAGTTTTTTTAATAGTGTAATCTTATATACCTATTGTATGTTGAATGTTGTATGTAAAAATTTGACTTTAATTGTGTAACATTCGCTAGGTGTGAAGTACCTTAACAAACATTATTATTAATTAATATTAGTTTCATTATCATTGTTATCACAATAATCAGGTAATGAGATCACATGCAATTTTATAGATATTGTCACTCTCACTCAGGTCTTCTTAATTACTAAATTAATTTGACAATCACTGAATTCTATACATTATAAAATTTTCTTTGAAAGTAATATGCCCTCTTCGAGATATATCAGGCTTTTCAAGGAACATTATATTATTCTTTACTTCTGATATATCATCCACGTCTGGATAATGAAAGGAAACAAATTTACTATTTTTTATTTTTCTTAAAACTTTGACGTTAGGAATGTTATTGTCATTAATAGAAATGATGGTCCCCACAAAATACTTCACAGATTTTTTTGTTGTGAATCTTACTAGTATCCAATCACTAACTTCTAGGTTCTTTTTGTTTAAATTCGGTTCAAATTGTTCAGTATTTGTAGTGTCTACATCATTATTTACGTAAGATTTGTCATTTTCTTTTTCTTCTGTTGTGGCTGGCAACAAATCTTCGAGAAAGTTATCATCACTTTTTATTTCCGCTAAAAAGTTTTCACGATATGTATCAAAATCTTCATCAGAAAGTTCAGCAGAACCGGAAAATTCAGCAAAACTAATATCTAATTCACTTTCAGATTCTTCGTCATAATCAAAACACTTCTTTTGTTTCTTAGCTTTCTTTTTAACATTTTTATTAGGTTTTTGCTTAGATAAGCTCTTACTACAAGGTTTTTTTTAATATCTTTGCTTTCATCAGTCTCATCTTGTTGTTGTAATTTTATACAATTTCTTTTTCGATTTTGGTCCAATTCTTTTTTTAATATTTTATGTTTTGGGGATTTTTATGGCAGTTTTTTCCTTTTCTTGCTTTATTTTTTCTTCGTTTCGTTTTTTTTCTATAAACTGTTCTCGCGTTATTATTTCACACCCCCTAGCAATTTTAGTTTTTTTCAATTTTATTGTCGAGTCACTTTTCTTTATTGTCTGCAATAATAAAGTTTCGAAAGAAACTCTTTCCGAGGGAGCCAAAATTCTATCTTCAATAATTCTAATTACCTTTGAATCATTAGACTGATCAAATTTCATCTCCTGGTTTGGCAAAACTAATTTTGATGACGCTGCTATGGGATTTTTGCTAATGCTCAACTCTTGGGTAACGGCCGCCAAACTTAACTTTTTTAATGTCTGAATCTGTTTTGGTATCGTTTTATGTTCCCTGAACCTTTTCAATAATTCTGGATCAAATTTTTCATCTGCAACTACGTTTCTGTCAAATGGATATATGCCCCCTTTTTTTAAAGCCATTTCTAATTATTTTTGTGTCTAATTCACGCCACACTTCTCCAAGAAGGCGACTAAACTCATCTTTTGGCAATTTAGTGCCCACATTTAACCGTTGCCAATGCACAAGTTTTGCATCCCAAGTGTTTTTCATTGATTTAAAAACTGATAAATCTAATGGCTGCAGAAGATGGCTTGCATGTGATGGTAATTTTATAATATTAACGCCTCGTTTTTGTGCTTCTTCTAAAATTTTAAGTTGGATATGGGTAGAATGACCATCAAATATTAATAAAGCGGGTGGATCTTCATTTAAACGCGGTAGCACTGTGTTCAACATGTACTTTTCAAATACTTTTGCATCGATTCATCCATTTTTAGTGGCAACATAGGATGTGTTTTCAAACCCTTTATCTGACAGCCATTGGTCCCACGTATTTTTTCCTCTGTGTATAATCAACGGTGGTAATTTGTCACCGATTGCGTTGACTGTGAACAAAATCGTGACATTATCTTTTCCAGATGACGCGATTGTGCGTGTACTGGCACATCCACGGGCTCCAACCACTTTTGTTCGTTCGGGATCTTTTCCAAAACTTGACTCGTCAAGGTTCCAAATATTATCAGGTCTTCCTTTTTACATTAAGTTCACTCAAAACTCCATCAAGAGTATCAAAATACTCATTAACAATAAAAGGGTCACATGCCACTTTTCTTGACATTTCTACCGCCTGAGGTCTTTTTAAGGACAAATTGTGCCTCTTCTTGAAGTCAGCAAACCAATCATAACCGGGTCTGTTGTTTTTGAATGGAGTTTTGTAGTTATTTTCACTCATGTGTACGGTAACTAAATCTAGCGTTTCTTTGGAAGTGAGTCCGAACCCATATTTTTCCATGACCCGTAAACCATTTGCAAGTTTGAGCTCATTTTCTCTGTCAATCACTGTAGGTGGTCCTCGGCTCTCCTTTACGATACCTTTTTTGTTATTCACTCTATCACATATAGTCATACGAGGAATGTTATACTTTTTTGCAGCTTGGTACGAATTTATTTTGCCAGTTTTGACTTCATCTACTGCTTTCCTTAAGGTTTCAAGATGGTAAGTTGGTGTTGTTTTTCTTTTATATGAACGAACCATTTTAAAAAAAATCTGAAAGAAAAATTTAGGTTTAATTACAAAGACCATCTAGAAAAATGTGTCAAACAGTGAAATTACCAAAAAAAAACTTCAAATATTATAAACAATATATTTTGTTTGTAATATTTAAAGTAATTCCGTTTTACTCGCGAGAAACCACCTACTTCTTCCAAAGTCTGTTAAAAGCCTATTATGTATTTATTAATCCAGGGTCTAATCTATCTCCATACCAAATTTCATCAAAATCTGTTCTTTCGTTTAGGCGTGAAAGAGTAACAAACATGCATATATTCATCCATCCATATATAAGTAGGGTATAACTATATTTAAAAAAAAGATTTTAGCGTATATGTATTTAGATCAATTATTGCATTATTGTTATCTTAAAATAAAAAGGTTTAGGACCTCATATAATGGGGCTATTGCGTTACAAAGACGCAATCACCCCAATAAGGCAGACGCGATAGCCCCGATAAAGAAACATAACCTAAAATATTTTAACTGCACGTGGACAATTAATCTTTAGGCCATTACTAAAAATAATTAAAACAAACTGTAAAACATTTCAGAATGAAAGGTACTTACAGGTAAAAAACCCCGATAGTCTAGAAAACACTGAGATTTAAGGGGATTCAATAACCACATATCACTATCGCGATCTTCGAAGTGAAGTGACATATTCAAGATGGCGAAAATTTAAACAAAAATGAGGCCAGTATCGACATCTACTAATTAAATATTTTAGTCTGGTGCTAAATATGTTTAAAAGATGGCGTGAGTAGTTCTTAAATTCGTATTTCATATGATATTTGAATGTGACGCCTTAACCCCTAAGACGCCTTAGCCCCGGTTGACCTTAATTTGTTTTATTATTAATCTATAATAGTTTTTATTTATTAAGTATCTTATTATTTATTTATTTATTCTTTTTTGTACACCACAATACAGAAACATCAAGTACAGTTAAAACTAAATTAAAGTATGTACAATAGGCGGTCTTATCACTCTGAAAGTGACAATTTCTTCCAGACAACCTTTGCGTAGAAAAATGATGCAAACAAAAGTTAAAATAGAGGGGGGGCATACAAAATAATAATAAAAAATATAATAATACATACAAATAAAGATAAGTGAAAATTATATACAAAATATCATATAATAGATTAAATGAAAAGAGTACGAGAAAGGTAAAGTAATTATTAAAAATATTAGTAAAAGTAATATTAACCGATGAAAAGTAATTCCTTGGTTTTTACTGACATTTCTTGAATTATTTGTGCAATATCTAAATATACAATATGTAACGTAATTAACGCACACCCTGAGACACCCCAATTAGTATATTATGTCATAATCATAATACATACACTAAATTTTTAGTTAAACATTTTTATGCAAACTTACTCGTATTTATCAAATTAGTTATACTAATTCCGGAAGAATGTTGTGGTCACAGTACAAATTCACGAACGTAAAGACTAACGAGCGTAAGATAAAGTTCATTTTCCTTTATTTTTATTGAATTACAGAATTAGTAATACAGAAGTACAAATAAAACTGCACTCTTAAAAGTCTTATTGCCTTAAGTTAGGATCCATTTCAGTTTGTTTTGACTGCACAGATTTAGTGTGACTGTAATTTACGTAGTTTTAATTATTTTTGAGATGAAAAATTACCTATATTAAAAATTATACGAATCGATTCAGTAAACGATTCTGAAAAACTGTTTTCTCAAAGTGCGTTAATTATGTTACGAGTTGTACACGACGGCATATTTTTATGAAGAGATTTTTTTTTAAATCAACACAACACGTGACAACTGTACAAGCGCCTAGCGAGCAAAGACCACAATATGGAGTGAAGAAGTAAGGAGTATTTTTTTTTGCGCCCGAAGCAAATATGGGCAACCCTCCAGAAAACGGGGGAGGGAGGTGGGGAATGCTCATAGCATACCACGCAGCCGGCTGCGTGGTTATGTGGAGACTTTTACCCACTAAACCCCACCTTTTAGGGACTGGCTTAACGGTCTAACTAGAGATCTCTAAGCCGTATACGAACGCGACCCTCCTTGGCAGAAAGGAGCAAGCGGCGAAAAGCCGCTTAGACGAGTGCCTAACTAAGGCAGATTAAGGGATGTGTTATGTAGGCTCGGCCTGAGCCGCCAGGAGGCAGTTCAGGTTAGCCGAAAGCTTGTTGGGGGGGGGGGGTCCGAGAGAGAGTTTCTCGGTCTGCGCACACTATAGCGAGTGTGGATAGGGGCTGCATAGGCAGTTGTCTCACGAATGAGATGATTTGGGTGGGACTCTGAGGCTTTGAAAAATCTCTCAGAGAGTGATTTAAGGAACTGCTGGATTGTTGGAAGCTCTTAAGTCTCGGTGTAGGTCGGCATTACGGACATAATAGGGCGAGTTAGTGGCCCTACGACAGAATAGATTTTGAACTATTTGAAATTCATTTATAGCTTTGGGCTTAGCATGTGCGAAAATGGGGGCCGCGTAGGTCACGACAGGTCGTACGCCCTAACATGCTTGTTGCGGAGGGAATTTTACTGTGTCTCCTACCCATGTAGAATCGTGCGGTGCGAGTAACCTTCTTGATATGGGGTTCGAAAGTGAGCCTTGCATCAAGGGTGACGCCTAAATATTTGGCTGTAGTTTGCCATGGGACAGGGGTTCCTAACATCCTGATTGGCGGAGTGTCGGTGAGACGACGTCGTTTATATTCAAAGCAAACGGCGGAGCTCTTCTCCGGGTTTACGTCGATACGCCATTTTTGGAACCCAGCTCCTAAGTCGCTTACTGACTTTTGGATCTTGTTCCGAATCTGTGGCAGTGAGTTGCCTTTAGAGTAAAGGGCTGTGTCATCTGCGAAGAGAGCTGGTTTAACACCATTCGACGGGATAGGGATGTCGTTGGTGAATAGTATATATAGGAGGGGGGCAAGCACAGAGCCTTGAGGGACACCGGCTTTGATTTGACGAGTAGAGGATAGCGTGCCTTCGTGTCTAAAGCGAAAAGTACGATCCTTCAGATAAGAGGCTACAAGGCGAACGAGACGGTCTGGGAGGCCAAAGTCGTACAAATTGTAGATAAGGCCCTCGTGCCAGACTCTGTCGAATGCCTTGGCAATGTCGAAGAAGACCGCGATGGTTTTTTACGACGAGGATAAAAACCGCTGAGGATATATTCCACTATGCGGTGAACTTCCTGGGAAGCGGCACGAGTGTTTGGCTCGAAACCCGAATTGTTGTGAGATGACAAGAGGGTCGCCGTCTGTGGGAAACAAATGGCGCCTCATGCGCACGAGAATGACTCGTTCGAAAAGTTTGCCCATGGCCTTGAGAAGGCTGATGGGACGGTGATTGGACGGGAGGTGGTGAGGTTTGCCTTGCTTGGGAATACCAATGACAGTTGCCTCTTTCCAAGAGGTGGGAAAATAGCTGAATTTGAAGCAGGCGTTGAAGATTATGGCCAATAAGGTGATCACCTGCTCCGGAAAGTGTTTTAGGGCTTGGTTGGAGATGCCATCCGCACCCGGTGCTTTTTTGGGCTTAAGTCCTTTGATGGTAGATGAAATCTCATCTTTGAACACAATGATAGGGTCAGAGGCGGTAGGGGGCGAGTTCCGGCGACGGACCTCGTCCTCCAGTAGTTGGATGTATATGGGGTCAGTGGGTTGTGAGCTGGGAGAGCATTGAGCGGCGACGCTGTCAGCGAAGCACTAAGCCTTTTCTTCGTCCGCGAAGGCAATAGAGCCGTCGGGACGTCTTTAGACGCGATCAGACGCACTTTAAGTGTAACGGGATATTTTGCTTACTTGGAGAGTATGCGTAAACTTAAGGACTACGTACGTCTATCCGGAGGGCTCTCGCCATCTGGTAGTACG